ACGCCCCGGAGGGAGCCGCGCCTCGTGCTGGTCTCGGTGGGCTGCGAGAACGGCTGCCTGACGCTCAGCGCCCCCGAGATGACCAAGCTCTGCTTCCCCATCCACCTGCCCCGCAAGAACCCCGTGCAGAACTGCAGGTACGGCCGGGGCCGCGCGCTGCGCCCTCTGCCCGCGGCGCTTCCCGGTGCAGAACGTGGGGGACGAAGCTCTCCGCTGTGTGCTGTGCAAAAAAAAAACACTTATGGCAATGTGAGGCTTAAGGGTTTTTGTTTGTTTGTTTCTTTGTTTAATCTGTTAAATTGTAGTGAAAGCAAATCTTTCGAGATGAAGGGATCACGTGCTGTATATTTCTGCCAAATGAACTGTGGTCTTCAGCCTTCATACAATGGCATGTTTGCTCATTTCTGTTTGCTTTCTGCTTTTTTATATTTTCATTTGAGCTCGCATGTGGCAGTCTCTGTCTTGCAGGCTCTATTTCTTGCCTGCTACCCACACACCCGTCAACATTTTGGGTTGCACATTGGCCATTCGGCGTAGATGAGCCGCCAGGGCCAACGTTCCTTCCCCGCTCACCATGAGGTGCCCAGATGAGTCTCCCCGTCGCCTGAGCTCCCCTCTGGCCCTGGGAGAAAGAAGGGCATTTCCAGGGAGCAAGTCCTTCCTTGTAGCCTTTCCTCATCTCCTTGAGGAGCTTAACCCGGTGAGGAACACTGGTGTGTCAGTTATGCGTTCAGCATTGCCTTGGCCTGGTTGTTTCAGCGATGAATTTTAATCTATGCTGAAAAATGGCCAAAGGGAAACACAAATCAACTTCTTGCTGCTAAATGACAACTATATGTAAGACTGTGCAGCAACTGTTAAGTGGTATTAGCCTCTACAAACATGCTGATAAGTGTTTATTTCCTTTGCATAGCAAAACAGGTTAATGTAGCAGCTGCTGTGATTAAAGCTAACAGTGCTTGGAATGAACTGCATTCATTAGCTTCTAGAATAAGTGTTGCTGTGGAAACCACTGATTAGCAGAGCTCAGGATCTTTATTTACATAAGGCAGGTGCAAGGTTATGCACTTTGCAAGGTTGCGCACATGCAGGTTATGCACTTTGATATGTTATTTTTCTGAAATTCAGAGCCACTAGAAAAGGATTTAAATAGGCAGCACTGTAGTAATGAAAAAATAGGTTGGACTTATGAATTACAGATGTCAGTGTGTTGTATTTCTCTCAAATTTTCTTCCTTTGCTTTAATAAACTCTTGCCCTCTCTGAGTTTAGAATTGCTGGGTTTAAGAATGTAGATAAGCAGGTGTGTGTAAAGGGACTTGAAAAGTTGCCAGGTTGTCTGATACGTGCATGCTGCCATGGCATGTGGAAGTAGCAATGCCCATAGTTAAAAGTTGTCTAGTTCTTTTCAGCTCGAGACCTATGTTTTGTGCGACTGCTGCGCTTAAACAGTTTGAGTTGCCTTTTGTGTGCTCCAGGATCTAGTCAGCCATTCCCAAAAGTGAGATTTGGGAACAGTTCAGGCGAATGAAGTCTTCACTTTTTTTCCCAGGTTTTCGCTTCCAGCTTGCAGCAATCCTATTGCAAGGTCCTGTGCCTGGAGCTGTGTTTATTCTGTGCTCGGAGCGCACAGTGCCTTCCCATTGGGGCTGGCTTGTGCCCAGCTGGAGCTCAGGGAATGCGATGGCACGTGGGCTGGAAAAGGCTCTGCACACATTGCAGTGCTTTAAAACTGCTAAGTCCAGTTGCAGTTTCTACTTCGATATCAAAAAATACAATGTTTGAGGGAGGCAAGTGTGATGCTAAAGCCACTGCATGCACTTGGTGTCTATCTGTGCTCATAGTTTGTTGGATTGCCAGGGTTGAGAGTTTCTACAGCTCTCTAGTTAAGAGGCTGCTGCCGTCTGCATTCGTGCATTTGAACGTACATGTTGTGATACGTTAGTTATATGGTTGCATAATGTTTCTATGGATCCCTGTGTGCAGAGTGCTTGGGATTAATCTGCTTTTGGGTAGATAATAGTGATCTAGGAAGCTGTAGGACCCTTGTGTCTGTTGTCAGACCAGTCTGAAGGCAGGTCTGTATTCTGTCTCAGAGTTGCACTGTTTCTGGATAAAACAAAGGACCAAAATAAATAATTTTATTTATTTTATAATTTTATATAAATATAAATAAAATTTATAATAAATTTTAAGGACTTTACTCATGTAACGAGTAACTTTTAATATGTAAACATTTTTAATAAACACCTACGAACATGTTTATAGATGCATCACCACAGAACAGCAGTGCGCCCCGTATCTTGTTAGTATATATAATTTATCCTAATCAAGTTAGACTTGTTCTTTCTGTCTAGGAAAGCGAAGGCTGCCCCTTATCACCTTCATGCCTTTGAACAAGTATGGCTCTCGTTTCCTCTTGGTCTCTACAGTACGGTTGCTTGCTGCCTTGCACCCCTTCCTGCACATAACAGCAGAAAGTGTCACGCTCATGGGATCTACTTCACCTTAACCAGAAACTCCCAGGAGCTTCTGTGGGTCGTTCCTTGCCTCAGATGACCTTTCTCTGGGCTTGCCTGGATCCCTGCTCTCCACCTCTCAGACTTTTGCCATGATATGCAAGTTTTAAGCTTCCTGATCAGCTTTTCATCAGGTCAGCTTCAGCTCCTGCATTACTGCAGATGTGGTGATCAGCTTAAACAACATATTTTATATATATACTTATTAATATGTATGTAATATACTTTTATATATATATGTATTATTTAACTGATTGTAGGAGCAAATCTCTGCTCCCCAAGAGACTGCAGCCAGACAGTCTGTGAGCTAGGGCCATCTCTCAGACTTGCCTTCTGTGTTCTCTGTATTCTGAGCATTGTGAGCTGATGTCCAGATGGGACCACACAGGGGAGCTGGTTCCCTGAGATGCTTACTGGTCAGTGCACTAACTCGTAGTGCGCTGACTCCCAGCAAGTCCCTGAATTACGCAGGAGCTGGACGTTTTCATCACTGACCTACGTATGGGTGGTATGGTTAGCTCTAGGATGCTAAGAGTGAGCGTGTATTTATGAGGACTCCTTCTTGCTCCTCAAACAGCGCACCAGAAGTGGTGACTTAGTTAGTGGTGGCTAGTAGCGTTAGCCAGCTACTAGCCTTGAGTCCCGGCTGTGTGAGGAGGTCAGGCCTGCAAGGTGCTCGGAGCCAAGGGATCTGGCCACTGGTGTGTGCTGCTGCCAGCACCTCAGTCACTTGTGTCCTGCTTGGATGAGGAGGGGCTCGAGGAGCTGGGCACCAGCTAGGTGAATTGCCTGGGCATCCATGTGCTTTAAGCTGTGCAGTGTATGGCTGCGGTGGCAGAGGAAGCTGCAGTGCTTTTGGGTCAGAATCAGTACTTTGAGGACAGTAATAAAATCATTTGTGACTGGTGTTGAAGTTTTTTGGGAAGTCAAGTGGAGGATTACATTTCCTGCCAGAAAAATTGCCACTTGAATAAACTTGTTTGTTTCCTGCTGTCAGTGGCTTTTTATGCCCCATGGACTTCGCTTCTGGTTTAAATCTTTAACCTCTCTTAGAACACAGAGTAGCTCATTCTCTATGTTTTAGTGTTACTTATTGACTTTGATACCTTACACTGGACCTCCTGGGATGTTGTGCCAGATGTTTTAGGGGAAGGCAATGCATATCCTTTATTATTGTTGTTGTTTTTAACTTAGCTTTATCTGGTGGGGGGGAAAAAAAACTTTCAGATTTTGGAAAACAGCTGTTTTGGGGAGGGAGAAAGTCTCTTGTTGAGACCACTGGTCAGATGGTTCAAGTTTCACTCTCTGCTCAGCCTTCTGAGCTGCAAAACTCACTCTCAAGTGGCTCAGATCCTATGTATGATTTCTGAGAATGGTGTAAATATTAGGTTTTAACAGAAGCTGTTTGTCATAAGAATATTTTTGACACATGCAAATCTGTTAGTGTTACGGTGTTAGTTCAAATGATCTTTGGACAGCAGTTTTACTCAGCTCTGACTAAATTTTGGCAGCACTAAAATTTGAAGGAAAGCTTCCTGAGTGTCGCGGGACAACATTTACAAATTTGTAATTACAATAACTAACCATGTCCATTTTATCTATCATTCATTTTCTGAAATCAGTTACCTTTCAGTCACTTTCTGGATAAAGGTCTTTTGGTGTTGAAGTCACACGCACACAAGGGCAAGAACAGACCCTTTGCTTTGCCTGAGAGTGCAGCAGGCTGACGGGATTTGTTGCGGGGCTGGTGAGGTGGCATTAGATCTGTGCACCTACTGCCTGTTTCAGGGCTCATTCCTTCACGCTGAGGTCAGCTGGTATTTTCTGCCCATGTCCATGCTACTCATCTTCCAAAATAAGGTGTACACAAGGAAATTGTGTGCTGGGAATGGTTCTTATCCTATATTCTCTACCCAGCTTCTGCTTTATTATAATTCGGGTAGTTTGTTTACAGGATCTTACAACAACTTTTTTTTTTTTTAACAGGCCATTTGTCTTCAAGTAGTGTTGAGCCTTCAGCTTTCCAGCTCACTTGCTGATATGTGGTCTAACTTGTGATCCTCCAGGGTGTTTGGAGTGGATATCCAAGGGAGGGACTGTGGTGATGAAGTGGCCCAGTGGATTACCTCTTTCCTGAAAACAGAGCCGTATCGACTAGTGCACTTTGAGCCTTCCATGGTGCCAAGGAAGTCGAAGAACGTAATCAACCGTTTCCGAACCACCGATGAGGTAAATGGATCTTTTTCACAGCAGTTTGGTTTTGTGTCCTTTTTAAAATTTATTTTCCCTTGCCCAAACGTGCATGTTCAGCCCTCAGGTGATGAACTCAATTTAGCAAAGTATGCAGTCATACACTTGAAGCACATGAACAGTCACTCTACCTTTGATGCAATGACTTTACTTGCCTAAATTTTGCTTTAAGTCTGCTCTAAACTGTTGACCATCCACAGCTAAAGAGGTTTATGCTGACCTTTTAAGAGGAAGTGTTACATTGCAGAAATATTGGAACTCCTTTTTTGCCTTGGTGAGTAGAAGGAAGCTATATTTTAAAGATGTTTTGCTGGTGTATCCATTTTGAAAACCTTCATTCTCCATCCTTTGTTAGGTCCAGCAGTGTTGTGATATGAGTTGTCTTATATTTTGTATGGTGCTAAAAGGGATGGTGCTAAACCTGTAGTCGCAGGGTAAGGAGTTACGGTCCAAAGAGGGCTGCAGAGTTTTAATCTTTTTCTTCCTGTGAGGAGGAGGTGGAAGATGGGATATTTGATAAAGATTTGCAGTCCGGGAGAGGAGATTATGTGCTCAGTCAGTGCTCAGTCACTAGATTGTTGAGACCACTGGTCAGATGGTTCAAGTTTCACTCTCTGCTCAGCCTTCTGAGCTGCAAAGCTCACTCTCAAGTGGCTCAGATCCTATGTATGATTTCTGAGAATGGTGTAAATATTAGGTTTTAACCTAATTGGAGCCACTGATGCTCTTCTTTTTGACAGAGTAAAACTGCATGTAGAGATGGTTTCAACGGAGCCTGACGAGTTTTAGCTCCTTAAGCAAATGCAAACTGTGACAATCTTACTTTACTGTTGTGGTGTTATTATTTATAGAGCATCAGTGATGCACTCGTAGCACAAACAGTAGGAGGAATCCACAGTTCTGGACCTTTAGACATGTGCGTTTATCCTGCAGGGGCACTGAGGCCAGTGGAGAAGACAACAGTTTCAGCTAACTGAGTGGCAGGTTGGAAAGGGCCGTGTTCAGGAGTCCTAGCATGAGCAGAACTGTTTCTGTAGCTATTGCCACACTCATTTTCTTGTGTTTGGAGGAGAAAAAGGCATAGTTCAGCTACAGTATGCATGAGAGGAAAACTATAATATAGGAGAAAGACAGGAGGAGGGGTTTTATGCCAAAATTCTCCCCAAAATTTCCTGCCCTTTAAGGGTCACTGGCAACTATGTAGAATTTTTCTTTTAATCCTGTTCGTTGGCCTTGTTTGCCACAATGGCAGCCCTCTTGCCTCTAAACAAACTTAGGCCAATGAATGGGTGGTTGCCATTTAATGTGCTTATTCTGTATGTGGAACTTTCTCTGTCATAAGGTAGATTCAGTGCGGAGTTGATTCAGTATACTGTGGTAAGATGGATTCAGCATATAGAAAAATGCAGTTAGTTGATTAAAGTCAACCAGGTAAGTCCAGCAAGTCCATAAACTTCTTACTGTCTTAATTTGCAATAACCTGTTTTACTGACATACTTTACTCCACCTGTAACACCCAAAAGTAGTGTTTGGAACATGCATCCTGTATTGCCTCCATTTATTCCATTGTATAAGAAGATGCGGTAGCTGATATATTTTGTGGCTTAACTCTATAAATAAAGCTTAATTTTACAAGTTGAGCAAATAAAACTTAGAGTGGTTACTGAAATAGGAAAGGGCTTGTTATTTCACTTCTTAACCTGCTTCCAGTGAATTAAAACCTTACTGCAGCAACATAACACTGCCAGGCTACTGTATGGCCATTGGCTCCAGCCTACCAGTCTTTTTACCATTAAGTATTTCTGCAAACTCTGCTCCCATGGTCTTGCAGCAGCCATAGGATTTCTTTTGTTTATTTATGTAGGTTGCCTACCCTGACTGTAGCCCAGTCTTGATGCTTACAGAAGCTTCATTGGAAGATCTAAACAGCAGAATGGAGAAGAAAGTTAAGATGGAGAACTTCAGGCCAAATATTCTTGTTTCAGGTTGCAGTGCTTATGAAGAGGTAAAATAATTCCTAAGTGCCTTTTTGGAGGCTTGGATATGTTTTTTGCAGCTTCTTTTCCTTGGGGGATTGTGTCTGCAAGGATGAGAAGCTGCTCTGTGATTTACAGCTGACCTCCAGACAGGTGCAGCTTCGGCTCACTTAAACGTATGTGACACACTGAGGGTGGCGACAAGCCTGTGGGTACTTACTTACCTTAGTGAAGGATAAAATAAGGGTATTTAAGTGACAGGTATGACCGAATGCTCATCTTAAAGTGTGAAGGAAAGTTATGCACAATATAATGCATAAAATTAATGATACAGATAAACAATTTGTAAATTGTCAGCGTGCTGTTTTGTAATGGTTGTCACAGGAGTAAAACCTCACCCTGTAATACTGCAGTACCATAACTGCATCTCTGACAATATTCCAGTGGTGCAGAAAGCACCATACCTTATGAAGGTAACTGGTGGTGTTGATGGCTTCTGGGTGTTTTGATGTCATGTTTCTGTTCTGCAAAAGAATTTGCTCTATGGTGAATGTAATTACTGATATGTGCTGAATTGGGTGAGTGAAACGACAATAGGTAGTCCATTAAAATAATAACACTTAACCTCGTGGATGTGAGAAAAGTGATTGTCCAGAATGATACCTCTTCTTCTGGGAGTGAGAACCAGCTCCTGGAGAAACGGTTACATGTGGATATGTCTAATCTGTGCATGATGTTTCCCTTCCCCCAGGACTCCTGGGAGGACATTGTTATTGGTGATGTGGAGTTGAAAGGAACAGTGTCTTGTGCCAGGTAAACGTTTGGGACTCCTGTTAAATACAGACATGCACACACACACACATATGTATGCATACATACATTACTATTATTGACTTGGCACTGTCTGTCGTTGCAGGTGTATTTTAACAACTGTGAACCCAGACACTGGGGTCCTGGATAGGAAAGAGCCCCTGGAAACATTGAAAAGGTTGTAAAAATACCAGAGCTTGTCAAGCCTTGCGAGTGGGTATAGGTTAGAACCCAACAGGCATTAGGCAGGAGATACATAAGTGATTGTAAGCATATGTTAGACTCAAGGTCAAGCCGTAAAGATCAGTCTATATTGGCTTTAGTTCTACTTTCTGCAGTTTCATATGGTAAGAAAACTCAGCAAGTTCTTTATTTTTTGCAAACTTTACCTTTTCTACCTCTTTTGTTTCTGCCTGTGTGAATGCCTGTGGAGATAGATATTTAAGGTATTTACGGGTCTAACTTAGCACTTTTGGCATGTTTCTTTATGATTGTATTTACATAACCATGTATTCACACACACAAAAACTATCAGTTTTATTCTGTTTGAACTGCTTAGTTCTCTTAACTGTTATATTTATTTAGTTAATTTTAATCTAATATGTTGACCAACATAGGGCATCACAGTTCATATGCCATCTCTCTGTCATCGCTGAAATTTTCTGTTTCTTAAGAAGTATTTTCTCTCTGTAGTTACCGCTTGTGTGATCCGTCTGAGCAACATCTGTACAGATCCAGCCCTCTCTTCGGAAGGTATTTTGCTGTTGACAAAACTGGAACAATTCAAGTTGGAGACCCTGTGTACAAGATAGTCCAGTAAAGGGAGATAGATTTTGATCAGAAGATATCATTTCACTTTGATATTCAAATTGCTTTCCCATGAACATAGCCACTGCCATATTTTGTCTTATTCCTTGCAGTATTTTCTGTGTTTTGTGTCTTTGTAAGGCACAAGTGAGTCCTTGAGCGTATGAAGTGCCAGTGATTGTGGAATGATGTGATCCTAAGATATCCTGATGTCCTAGCCACAGTTGTAGAGGGTGATGTGTTCATCTTTAGCTCCTCTCTGGCTCAGTGAGACACTTACTATTGAAAGCTGGCCTGCTTCAGCAAGAGGATGTCTCTACTAAAGTCACCTGCATATATAGAGAAGTAGAGTTTATGCATCGAGGAAAAAGAAAAATTTAGACTTCTGGTGTCACGTAGCCACTAAGCAGGAAATTGGGAAGTTGCAATTTTAGGCTGAGCATTTTAACACCCATACACACTATGCATTCTTTATTTTTTTTTCCCTTACTAACTGACCTAACTGAAATGTTAGCCACTTACATGAAATCCATAATCATATTTTCTGCTGTTACAGCATCTAAAACAAGTGAGGAGTTGATGCAGGGGAAAGAAACTACTTGGATGATGGCAATATTCTGTCAAATCTCGCAGAACTTAAAAACTGTACGCAAAGGCAAAAGTGGGCACTTGGTACCCATAGCATTGTTACGGATTAGCG